TACAGAGTATTCTGATCAAGGTCCCATGTAGCTCCTTGCTGCTAAATCCACTGTTACATCTTTGTCTTCATCACGTTTGACTTCTTGGCCATGTTTGACACTGCTGACTGCTCTCAGCTGCTCTTTTGTTCTGTACCTTTTCACTTTCCTCCTCGGATTTTTTTCCCTTCTTTCTAGCCCCAAATGTTTGCATTCTCTAGGGTTCTGGGCTCAGCTCAGCTCTGTCTCCCTCCCCCTCTGTACATTCCTTTCCTGGTGATTTATCTACTCTCAGTGGTTGCCTCCGTTGCCACATTTACGCTAGCCACTACCAAATCCAAATCCTTATCTCTAGCCCAGCTGTCCTCTGGAGCACCCGTTCTCAGCCATCTGCCCACACTTCCCTCTGAAACAGGCACCTCCAGTGCCGCCTGTCATAAAATCCATTATTGCCCCACCACCTTGAAACTGCTCTGCTGTGACTCCTATCTGTGATTGGCGTGCCAGCCTAGAAACTGGGTGCTTCCTGGGTTCCTCTACCCTTATTCATTGGCCACGTCAGATCGGCAAACAGGACCACTCCATCCCATAGTCCCCAATCCTCACTGCTGTTACCTCATTCAAGAGCTACATGATTTTTTGCTGGGAATAACTGCTGTTTCTCCTTTGAGATCAGTAACTGGTGTGGTTCTTGTTTGCACATTCTGCCTTCAATTTTACCTGATTCTCTCAGTGGAGATTGAAATGAGCTGAATTCTGTTCTGCTTCTGTGGAAGAGCCCTGCTTCCCATCATAATTTGTCAGTCTTCTGCGAGTTGTTTGGACTGAAACCTTATTCTTTGGCAGTTTGATAAGAGTTGTTTTCTAGGTGTTTAATCATATTTATGGCTATTTTGTCCTGACAAAATGGTGATGGTGGAGGAGGAGCTGTGAGCTCTAGCTGCAGTCCCTGCCTTTGCATGCTTTTCGGATTCTGAAGATTTACTGTTTGGGGACATTAAGTTCCTGATTTGAGAGGTGGCGGGGTCAAATAAAATCAAACTCTCTATAGAATTTTGGTTCCTTTTTTGGATTTTAATGACACAGTGTAGACTTTTCTCTAAAACATGTTCAGATACCCAAATAAAAGAGAAGGGAAGACTGGCCGGTTAGCTCAGTTGGTTAGAGCACAGTCTTTTAACACCAAGGTCACAGGTTTGGATCCCTGTACCTGTCAGTAACTCCCCCCCCCCCCAAAAAAAAAAAAAAAACCTTTTGGGTTGTTTTAAAAAGGTTTTTGAAAAAAAAACTGGAAAAAAAAAAAAAAAAAAAAAAAAAAAAACCCCCCCCCCCCCCAAAAAAAATAAAAACGAGAAAGAGACAGGAGTACTGATTGTTGTTGTTATTGTTTTTTAAATAGACCCAGATCCACAAAAGGGCCTCAAAGGTAATCTCTTATGGAGAAATGAGCCTTGATTGGCCAGAGGCTATCTAAGGGAAGGTGGAAGCTGATTTTAGTATTTTCCATTTTGTGGCTGTTGTCCACTGGTGGGTGGCAGTATCATTTCATTTTACAGATGGGGAAATTGAGGCTGGCATGGTGGTGGGCCGGTAACTTTCCTAAGTTAGCAGTGGAGTTAGGATTGCATGCCACATGAACGGTTTATTCTTACTTGAAAATTTGTGGCTTTGAGTTTGGTTGCTTTGAGGGTTGGGAGGAAACCCCTCACTCTCAGAGGTCCTTACAGAAACATCACAGATGCAGTGTGTGAGGCCGTGTCCTTGGATGCCAGAGCCAGACTCAGGAGGTAACACCCTTAGCAGGCGTGTCCCCTTCACCCTGCGGTGTGGAATCTGTATGTGATGTATGTTTTCCTTTTCCAAAACTGGGATGGAGTTTGGAACAGCAAATATTTAATCAGAGCAAATTCCTCTTGCTAAAATCTTGCCAGTTTGTTCAACTTGGAGGTTCTTTGCCTAAAAATACTCACCACTTACTGAAGAGTAAATGTGCTAGGTCGCCCACAGAGCATAAAGGAGGACTTGGTTAGTATTTGGAGCAGGAGGTTGTTTGCCTACTTTTATTTTGGATGAAATATGCAGTGCCGCATACTCACCATTTGATGAGCCTCGAGGGCCCCAGGCACATTCGAGGTGGACTGGAGTAGGCAATGGAGGGGGTTTGTTGGGGATGATGACATAGAAGCTCGTGCCTGCTGGTATTAGCACTCTCCTTGAAATGAATTTTAGAGGGAGAAGGAAAGGAGAGAAGTGGGTTGGGGGTAGGGAGGTGGAGAAGAGTGTAAAGGTGGAAGATGGGCTGGTGTGGATGAAAGAGGTGCCACTGTGCACGTATTATAGTGGGAGTTTGGGGAGGCAGGCATTGGTGCTGCTGATAGCGTGGAAGAGAGAGGGAGGGAAGAACAGGGTTTAATGAATGTTATAGAGCAATAAATCCCATATAAACAAAGCAGCCTAATGAGTGAGGTTGTGTGGTTTCTCCTTCGTGAATGTGGTGTTTACAGACTAAGCAATATGACCTCCTTGTTACCAGTGCTGCTCAGACAGCTGCAGCTTCTGCTTCAGGTTAGAGTCTCTGAAATGTTCATTTTGTGTGTGGTCCCCCATTACTTCAATATCTGAAGTTTTTAACCATGCTAATTGCTCACTCATGTTAAAACACATCTAAAAATTCAGACCCCTTCAGAAAGCACTCGTGTGACTTCTCCCATCACCTGCGTGCGGTGCTTCCTGTGTCCTCGTGGCCAGTGTTTATTTGGAAGCAACTTCTAGACCAGCTGTCTCACAGGGATGCCCCAAGGTGATGCCCTAGGGTGCCTCAAACTCTTGTGTTAAAAAAAAAAAACTGGGGGGGCCGGCCCAGTGGCGCACTGCTACAGTGCGCCGCTTGGGAGTGCGGTGGCGCTCCCGCCGAGGGTTCGGATCCCACATACAGACCGGTTCCCGCTCACTGGCTGAGCGAGGGGTGGGCGCAGCACCGAGGGTTGCGATCCTGTTGCCGGTCCCTGTCCGGTATGGGCGTAACACTGAGGGTTGCGGTCCGTTGCCGGACATGAAAAAAGACAGAAAAAAAGGGGAAAAAAAAAAAAAAAAAAAGGGGAAAAAAAAAAAAAAAAA